GATGCCCAAGTATCTTTTAAAAAAATATTTTCTAGCTCCTCTTTTACAATTGTCCACATTCATTTCTGCTTGCTCTGCATTGCCTGAAGAGTTTGGTTTCACTGTAATTTGTTACTTACTGACATTTTTCTTTAACTATTTCCAACTCATTTCATAAAGGTAGTAGTAAGGCAGCTTTAAAAAGCAGGTTGTTGTTTTTAACTGTCAAGTCAACCCCAACTCCTGGAGACCCACAGATCGCCCACATGGAAGGCAAGAATTCTGCCACTGAACCTCCAGGGACTCCTTTAAAAGTAAAAGAAATTAGACAGTTTGAGAAAGGGAAAAATAAAGATAGGAGAAATATTATGAGGCCTGTAATAAAATCAATACTCTCAAATGTGCACACGAGGCATTCTGAAGGTCTGAGCTTTTTAGTAACCATTCAAAGAGCAAAAAGACTGTTGGCATTACTGTCCCTCAGAAGTTATTTTCTTCTACAAATTTATTCATACCAGATACGTTGTATGGTTTTAACTCTTGATTCTACTGAAGCTAACATAGCCAGACCCTATGAAAAGAGATGCACTCAACATAGATGAAGACCCAGGTTTACAAAAAGACATAGGCTAGAGTGTCCACAGCCACCCAGTGAGAACATGAACCGTGGAGAGTCACAGAAGGTAAGATATGTAAAGCAGTAAGTGTATCATAAATAATAACATGACTCATACAACTACAGGAGCTCACAGACTTAATGTTGAGCAAGAGAAGATACAAAGTAATACAGGCTGCATGACTCCATTTATAGGAAATTTAAGAGAGAAATTAATAAAATGGCAGAATAAATCTGTGATGAGAGGAGGTAGGGGTTAGCTCCTGTCAGGGGGTGCCTGAATGGGTGAAAGGGGTATTTCTAGGGTAAGAATAATGTTCCCTTTCTAATATGTGTGTTCAGTGTATGGAAATCCATCAAGCCATATATTTACATTGTTAATATAAAAAGAAAGGAAATTTTATGCACCCACAAAAATAAGATCAGGTGCCAACGAGTTAATCCTGACTCATGGCTGCACCACATATGCCAGAATCAAACTGCTTCAGAGGGTTTCCAGTGGCAGATTTTTCCACACAGATTACCAAGCCTTTCCCCCAAGGTGCCTCTGGGAACATAAACTTCCATCCTTCAGGTCAGTCACGAAGTTTGCCTCATCCTAGCTTCTAATAAAACTATTTGTTGCTGTTGTTGTGTACCACAGGGTCAGAACTGACCCATAGTTGATCCTCCAGCAGGTTTTCAGAGGCAGTTAACTGCATAAGGAAAAGACTGTCCACCCTTCTTCCGAGGAGCAACTGGTGGCCTTAAACCACATGCCTTCAGGACTGCAGCACAGCTTTTTTGCCACTAGGCCACCAGAGCTCCCTTAGTCTTGGAGGAAAAAAAATCATTAATGTTTATTTAAGGGGATTTATGTGGCTTAGTGGTAAAGAATTGCACTGCCAGCCCAAAGAAATGTGGTTCGAATCCATCAGCTACTCTCCAGAATAGGCGATCTTCTCCTGTCTCTGAAAATGACTGTTGTTAGGTGTCATCGAGTTGAGTATGACTCACAGAGTCCCTGTGAACAGCCATCTGAAACATGCCCTATCCTGTGCCATCCTCATCACCTCCAAGGCTCTAGAACACATTGCTGAAGTAACATGTCAATGTATCTCGTTGGGGAGGGTGTCTTCTTCTCCTTTGCTGACCCTTAATATTTCCACGCATGGTGTCTCTTTCCTAGGAATAGCCTTGCTTAGCTACATGTCCGATGTATAAAAGAGGAAATTTGGTCATCCTTGCCTCCAGGGAACACTCTGCTGCATGCTTTCCAGGATATATCTGTTTGTTCTTTTGGCAGTTCATGGGGTATTCAGTTTTCTTCTCAAGCACCACAGCTCAAAGGCATCAATTCTTCTTCTGTCATCCTTATTCATTGTCTAGCTCTCTGATGCATAGGAGGCGACTGAGAAGATCATGGCCTGTATCAGGTGTACCTTAGTCTTCAAACTGATATCATTGCTCTTCAGTATTTTAGAGAGGTCCGTGACTTCAGACTTGTCCAAAGCAATATATCTCCTGATTTCCTGACTGCTGGTACCAAGAGGTATTGACTGTTGATTTAAGCAAGATGAACTCATTGACAGAGTCAATATTTTCTCCATCTATTGTAATGCTGAGTTTTGGGCCTGTGGTGAGGATCATTGTCTTCTTGATGTTGATATGTAATCCATACTGAGCACTGTAGCAGGCGTTTCATATCCTCCTCACTTTCAGTAAGTAAAATTGTGTTATCATTATAACAGAGGTTACTGCCTCATCATAGAGTCCAGCTTCACGAATGATATCTCAGCATACAGATTCCTTACCAAGGTGAGCGGTGAACCCAAAGGCTAAGCATCTCTGGAAGTGTGAATCTATCAGCAACTCTTGGGTAGACAGAATTGACAATCTCCACCCATTAAGATTTACAGCCTTGCAACAATGAATGAATGGAATTCCAAAATCTCTGTAGATGTTCACTGACATTAATAATAATAAAAATAATAATAACAAAAGATTTAAAAAATAAGATTTACAGCCTTGAAAACCCAATGCAGGTTGCAAAGACTGGAAGTTAGCTGCAGGTCATGAGTGAGTTAGTCCTTTAAAAAATCTCATTATAATCCTTTTCCAGTTCATGAGCATAACAATTGGGTGTTCATGCTTCTGTATGACATGTGCCACCACTTAAACCTTGTTATGACATAGGCACATTACCCGTCTGACGTGAAACCCCCCCCAACTCATTATGTACACCAGTGTTCACAGCAGCAATGTTCATTGCAAGAACACAGAAACAGGCAAGATGTCCAACTACAAATGAATGGATTGAGAAGTTGTGGTGCATTCATACAGTAGAATACTACAATCCATTTGTAAATTACTACATAACTTGGGAAGGACTTGGGAGCATTATGCTGAGTGAACTAACTCAGTCCCACAACGACAAATGCTGTATAAAACCACTGCTGTAGAATGAGAATGAGGATCCAAGGCAGGTGGGGTGGAGATAGAGGGGTAAGGATGGAGGGATAAGGTGTTAATCACAGGGTTGCACAAGTCAATGGGTGGTCGGGTGAAGGAAATGGGAAACATCTTTTGTGAAAAACAATGTATTCAAACTTTGTAAATAAATCAGAATAAAATAAAATTTAAAAAAATCTCATTATATGGAATGAAATACAATGTAAACGAAAGACTGTCGAAACACAATGTGTATGCACGAAACATGCAATATATAGGAAAATAATAAAAAATAGCAGTGTAACCATTCCCTGTTTTAATCACAGTGTGACGATAATAGGAAAAATGAAGTTGGCCTAGTGGTCAGAAGCTGCATGGCAATCCTGAAGGCACTGGATTCAAATCTGCCAGCTGCTCAGTAGGAGAAAGGTGGATAATTTCCTCCCTCTTAATTAACGGCCTCTGAAAAACTTAATGAGGGGTCAGTTATGGGTTGGTTCTGACAAGATGGTATATAACAACAACAACAAGAAGAGAGATCATAGGAGTAACAGTGATAAAGGTCAGTAAAATTTAAACATGAGACGGTTTAAACTCATTAAGAATCTATCCAAGAAGATGACAGAAGTTGCTGCTTTTAGACTGGAAGTAACCAATATCAGTAATAATTTAAAGTAAAAGAGATGGTCCAGATCATGGATGATGATATCAGTTAACATACTTTGTTTGTTAAAAGCTATGTTGGTGCACACCTGTCTTTATCGTGGCTTTGTTCACAATAGTAAAGAGTAGGAAACAACCCAAGTGCCCATCAACAAATGAATGGATAGAGAAGCTGTGGTATATTCACACAATGGAATACTATATGTTGCATTGAAAAAAAGGAACTCATGAAATATTATACAAAACTAGTGACCCTGGAGGACATTATGCTGAGTGAACAATCTCAGTCACAATAAGACAAATGCTGCATAAAGCCACTGTTGTAAAACGGGACTGACATTGGGGTTGGGGAGAGACTGAGAAAGATGGGATAAATAACGTATATGGCATTGAAAGAGATGAGGGGGAGACTCTTTAAAAGGGATATGTGATTAGGTATTTTTATTATGACAGGAGTCCAGAATGAGGGCAACATAGTGGAGTGGACTTGGTGGGAGGGACTGTATAACAATGAAAGAATTTTTCCTTTTACTTTTCAAAGAGAAGAGCAAACAGGGGAGAGGTGGGCAGAGAGAAAAGTGCAACAATGAATGAATGGAAATCCAAAGTCTCTGTAAACTTTCATTAAAATTAATTAATAAATATATTAAATAACCCACGTCAGATGAATAAATTTGTATACACATGACAGTCTGGAAAAGGACCACCTACTAACATTTCTCTACGACACTGCTCAACAGTCTTATAATAATCCACAATGACTGAGTTGATTCTGACTTATCACAATTTTATAGGACTGAGGTGAGTCAAAGGTAAGGAGTTGTGCTGCGAACCCCAAGGTAGATTGTTTCAATCCACCAGCTGTTCTGCAGAGGAAAGATGGGCAGTCTCTTTCTATGCAATTTATAGCCTCCAAAACCCCTCTGGAGAACCAGCTCTGAATTGGTTCTGACTTGATGCTACGTAACAACAGCCGACTTCTAGTACAGGGTTCCATGGCTGCCAATCTCTACAGAAGCAGATGACCTCATCTCTCTTCTACAGAGATGCTGGCAAATTCAAACTACTGGCCTGTCAGTGAGCAATCCAATGCTTCATTTATTGCACTAGCTGGGCTCTTTAATGTTACAGTACTTTAAAGTATTTTAAGTAAATTACAAGTGAAAAGAAGTAAGTAAATGTGAGAAGGTGAAGCACTGCGCTTGTCACACTTTTGAAATCTTGTGCAATCATTTACAAAGCCCCGTTTGATTCCAAGCTCCCACCCCGGCGAAGCCCGAGGATGTGACTGTTTGTCAGGACAGAGACTCACCATGCTGTCCAGGTGGACCCAGTGCACCTCGTTGCTACAGCTGATCCGGGACTGCTGGGACTGCAGCGTGTATGGGAAGGAGCTCACCTGGAGCACCAGCAGGTTGAACGCTTCCAGGACTTCTCTGCAGTTAATGATTCTGTCGGCTAGCCCATGACTGGTGTCGCTATGAGACAAGGAGCCTGAAACGACACTGAGCAAGTGGTGGAAACATGTTACTACCTCTTTGGTTAACTGGTTAGATGCAGAAGCAAACACTCATATAGGCAGACGCTGTTAGTTTTTATTTTCGTAGCTTTTAAAGGAAGCTCTGGTGGCCTACTGGTAACTTGAAAGCACAGGTTTAAATCCACCAGCTGGAGAAGGATGGGCAATCTCCTCTCATGCAATTTTCTGCCTTTGAAAACCCACTGGAGGGTCAGCTATGGGTCAGTTCTGACTCTGGTACATAACATGGAGCTTTTTAACTTTGGGAGCAGTAGGAACAACTGAAATTTGAATTAGAAGAGAAAAAAATGTAGACTCATTCTTCCCTACTTCATACTGCTTTCTGGGTTATACTGCCCTCCTTCCTCTACATTTTTCAGTTTACCTTAGATCATCTTAAAAAAAAAACACACACAACTCAACCTAAAACTGAAAAGAATCCACTTTACTTTGAAACTAACCAGAAGGAAGGACCTTCTCCATCAAAACACGGTGTTTCTAGAACCTTGTAGTGGCTGTGCCCCAAGGAGGCCCACCATGTAAACTATCCCATTGCTCCCTGCAAACCACCAGGTCCAGCCTGTCTACGATTGGGATTTCCTTATCTCTGGTGACTTTCAGTTCCTTTCTATTTGGATGTATCCAGTTGTGATGCAACTTCAAAGCCCCATAATTCCCCTATCTGCTACTTTAAATCTTCATGTCCTGGGGTTTTAAGTACCCACTGATTCAATACGTACCCTCAGGGATATCTAAACATTCAAGGATGATGTATTCAAGGTCAGTCTGCCACCTCTCCTCACAAAACACCAATAAAAATGGAACAAAATTTCTTTTTCTTTCCTCTATTCCTTTCCACCCTCCCCTGAATTTCATAAGTTATAGAAAATGTTATATTTGATTATGGATTACCAAACACATCCTGGTTTCTAAACAAGTGCTTTTGCAATTTCTACTGCAGAACCATAAAGCTTGCAGATCCCTAACCTTGATGTTTCCTTCAGAAAAGAACATCTAGAAATCTTTCTGATATTCCCAAATGTCTTTTCCCCTTCAGGGTGAAGAAGGAGCTCTGGTGGTGCAAGCACTTAAGCACCGAGTTGCTAACTGAAAAGTTGGTGGGTTGAACCTAGACAGTGCTTCCACTGAAAAAAGATGTGGCAATCTATTTCCACGAGGATAACACCAATAAAACCCCATGGGGCAGGTCTATTCTGCTGAGGGGTTACTGCACATCCACATCGACTCAATGGCTTCTAGCAGTCACAGCACCATGGTGAGGACAGACCTCGACATATGTCTATGACCATCTGCTTTTGCAGTCCACAAGGGCAAAGACACTGCCTCCCACCTCCACCAAATGATCACTCTAATTCTACTGGGGATCAAAAAATGGCTCCACGCATTCTGTTCTTTCATTAATAACCCCACTGAAGAAGTAAGGCATCCTCTTGTCTAAAATAGTCAGCTAGAGAAGGTTCTGGATCTGCTTGCAGGGCGACTATCAACTAAAGCAGTTTGGTCATGCTCGTGAAAGGCCAGGAAGAGGGCAAAGAGCAAGAGCTGACGAAGAGAAGAGAGGCAGAATGTGAGGAGGAGGAGGAAAGCTCGTGAAAGGAAAGCGCTTCTCTGCTTTAGGTGCTCATTAATCTCAGATTCCTTATTACTACGTGATCTCTGAGAACAGCAGAGTTCCAGAATTCTCTCACTGCCACTGAGCTGGTTCTGACTCAAGGCTGGTTCTCCATGTGTTTCCAAGGCTATAAGTCACACAAGAGAAGACTTCCCATCTTCCTCCCACAGAGCATCTGTGGGATTCGAACTGCCAGGGAAGCTCTGCCTTTCGGTCAGGAGCATATTCTCTTTGGACTGTGCCACCTGAGCTCCCTCTCTAGGAAGAGGCTGCCCATCTTCCCCTCCCAAGGAGCAGCCAGGGGTTCAGACCACATCTAATGGAAATGTCTAAATCTACCCACAAGATAGCTAAAACAAAAGCACGAGTAAAAAATATTTTTAAAAGTTGAGAGAGCAATGGATAGGAAAACTCAATATTGTGAAAAATAGCAATACCACCAAAGGCAATTTACACGTTCAATGCAATCCCAATACAAATCCCAATCCCAATCCCATTATTCAATGAGATGGAAAAGACAATCTCCAGTTTTCTTTGGAATGAAAATAAGCCCTGGATAAGCAAAAGCACTCCTTAAAAACAGAAATAAGGTAGGAGGCATCTTACTCCCTAATTTCAAACCCTATTACACTGCCATGGTGGTTAAGACAGCATGGTACTGATACAATGAGAGACACATAGATCAATGGAACAGAATTGAGAACCCGGAAATCAGCCATTTACCTATGGTCAACTGATTTTGGACAAGGAGATGAGATTAGTAAAGTGGGGGAAAGGACAGCCTTTTTAACAAATGCTGTTGGCAAAATTGGAAAACTATCTGCAGAAGACTCAAGCAATATCCACACCTCACTCCATATAAAAAAATTAACTCAAGGTGTATCATGGACCTAGGACTAAAACCAAGGACTATAAACTTCATTAAAGAAAAGTTTGGAAGAACTCTAGAAGTCCTAATCCAAAACATAAACAGTCTTCCAAGTATCCTGAAAAATCTACAACTAGGAGAAGATAAATGAATGGGACCTTCTAAGAATAAAATCCGTATGTACATCCAAAAACTTCTCCAATAGGGTAAAAAGGAAAGCCACAGACTGGGAAAAAGTATTTGGAAATGATATATCAAATATGGGACTTATATCTAAAATTTATAAAATACTTAAGCACCACAACAAGATAAAGGTAAACAATCCAATTGAAAAATGGGCA